TTAAATATCATCATTATTATTAATTTTATGTCGGCAATAAATTTAAGCTCCGTAATATGTAACTGATCGTGATAGCAATACTAGGTGGGTCCCATTCTAAGACAAATTGCAAGACCGGCAGTTTTAGTCAGACTGATTAACAGCCCTCAAAAATCGTAGAATCAAGCTATATTTTATTCTATAATTATCTATAGCAATAATTTAATAATAACTGTTTTTAGTCCGTCCCAAAAAAGACAGGCCCTAGGACAGAATGGTGGTCCATCGAGCCAATCTAAATAAGTACCTTACCAAGATAGAATAACTTGAGCAGCAAAATTTTTTGTTATACTTTAGGCTATACTTACAGACTAATTTAATATAAATATAAAGAAATGACCAATTTCACTATTATTATCGCTAAATTAATGAATAAGAAATCAAATGAAAAGATAATAAGTACTATTTATTTTTTGCAACAGTGGGGATAAAAGGTAGATTTCCGATTATGTAAGGACCTTTCGGGCTCTTATATGGCCAGTGATTATTTCTATAGTGGAAAATAAGGATATTATTCTTTATTTTATATGATGAATGACGACGAACCAAATAATAACTCCAGTAACATTCGAATCATTTTGACAAGATGATTTGATTGAGTCCTGATGAATTTGAATTGATCCATCCTTGATACCCCATGAATGTGTGAATAAATTTGACGGTTCTGGTACCAATTGATTCATCTTGTTAAAGTGATTTGAATGGTACCGGGATTAATTACATTTACGTGGGGTCAATTCTTTATCAGGAACTTAGGTCCCAATTGAGTTAATAACTCCAGTATCATTTTAACATGATGATTTGATTGGTACCAGAATCTTCACATATTCACAAGATATCAAGGATAGATAAAACTTTTATCGAGTCCTTGGGTCCCAATTAGAGATGGGAAAAATGCGCATTTTATAATAACATGCGCATGAATACGCATTAATGCATATTATGTCGCACGATATAATTTTTTTTTGAATTAATATTTTTCCTATGGAAAATATCGGATATTTGCCAAAGTTTTTTCCCTGACCCTTTTCATATTTATGTTCATTCATTTTCTTTTCGGAATTTTCAAAACTTCTGCATTCCTATTTCTTAATTTTGCCTGGCATTATACACCTTGGCCTAAATTAAATATACTTTAATCCTCCTATATAAAATTTAGATGGGATAAAATGCGCATGATTCTGAATCATGCGCATTAATGCACACGCATGAAACCCATCTCTATTCCAATGAATTTTAATTGATCTATCCCTGATATCTTGTAAAAGTTTGATTAAATTTTGATGATTCTGGTACCAATCGAATCATCTTGTTAAAATTATTCGATGATACTGGAGGTATTAAAATTTAATTACATTTACAAGATATCAAAGATGAGATTAATTCTTTATCAGAACCTTGGGTCCCGATTGAATTTGAGTCAATAAATCCAGTACCATTCGAATCAATTTTGCATGACGATTTGAATGGTACCAAAATCGTCCTAATTTAATCACAAGTTCACGAGATATCAAGGATAAATCAAAATTTTCATCAGGACCCAAGTTTCCGATGAACTTAAATTGATTTATCTTTGATATCTCATAAACCTGTGATTAAATTAGGACGATTTTGGTACTATTCGAATCATCATGAAAAAATGTTTTGAATGGTACTAGATTTATTAAAATTCAATTACATTTATGAGATATCAAAGATGAGATTAATTCTTTAGCTGGGACCTTGGGTCCCAATTGAATTTGAGTTAATAAATCCGGTACCATTCAACAAGCTGATTCGAATGGTACCAAAATCGTCTAATTTTAATCACAAGTTCATGAGATATCAAGGATAAATCAAATTTTTCATCGGGACCCAAGGTCCCGATGAACTTAAATTGATTTATCTTTGATATCTCATGAACATGTGATTAAATTTGGACGATTTTGGTACCATTCAAATCATCATGCAAAAATGATTCGAATGGTACCAAAATCATCCAAATTTAACTACACGTTCATGAGATATCAAGGATAAATCAAACTTTTTATTTGGACCCAAGGTCCCGATGAATTTGAATTGATTTGTCCTTGATATCTCGTGAATGTGTGATTAAATTTTGATGATTCTGGTACCAATCGAATCATCTTGTTAAAATAATTCAAATGATACCGGAGTTATTAACTCAATTCCAATCGGGACCCAAGGTCCCAATAAAGAATTGACTCCATCTTTGATACTCGTAAATGTAATTAAATTTTAATAACTCCGGTACCATTTGAATCATTTTAACAAGATGATTCGATTGGTACCAGAATCGTCAAAATTTATTCACACAATCACAGGATATCAAGGATGAATCAATTCAAATTCATCGGGACTCAATTGAATCATCTTGTTAAAATGATTCGAATGTTACGGTAGTTATTATTTGATTTGCATTATGGCATTATATAAAATAAAGAATAACACCCTTATTTTTCACTGAGAAAATAAGTTGGCAAATCTATGGCTATATGAGAGCCCGAAAGGCCCTTATATAATGGGAATTTACCTTTTATTCTCGGCGTTGCGAAAAATAAATAGTATTTATTACCTTTTAATTTGATTTCTTATTCATTAATTAGCAATAATAATAGTGAGATTAGCCATTTCTTTATATTTATATTAAATTAGTCTGTAAGTATAGCTTAAAGTATGACAAAAAAAATTTTGCTGCTCAAGTTATTCTATCTTGGTAAGATACTTATTTAGATTGTCCGACTCAGACCGATGGACCGCCAGACTGTCTTAGAGCCTGTTTTTTTTGGAACAGACTGAAAACAGAGATAATTATAGAATAAAATATAATTTGATTTTGCGATTTTTGCGATATATTAAATTTAGATTATGTACACAATTAGGGTTGCCAACTAAAACAGCCGGTTTTATGGCTTGTCTTAGGACTGGGCCTGTCTATAACGACCCAAAAATACTATCAGTCTTAATATAGTTAGCATAAAATTATTGTAACAAATATATAGTGATTTTGTTGGATTTAGACTATAAGCACTATTATAGTTTGCAGTATATAGGCGCATACAACTTTGAGTTCAGATAAGCTAAAATTTATAATCAATATTTAGTATATAAATCTTCAGAAAATCAAGTTATAAGAAATATTGACTGAACCGACTTGAATAAAAAATTGTTTATTGACCAAATCAGCACAAACAGTAAATTAATAAAGCTAAAAAAAAGTGCATATATTGTTTTCGAATACTTAGATTAACAAATTATTTTATGTGTTCCAGTTAAATTAATTCAAATACTTATTATTACTATTATACAAATTATTTCAATTGCTAGTAAATATAAAGATCATTTATTGATCCTGTAGTTAGTAGAATTAATATAATACTTACTTACCGGTGCCAATGCATAAAGATTATTTCAAATCTCAGATTTAATGTTAAGTAAAGATTATTTATTAATCAGTGTAAATAAACCCATCATGTATAAGTATTACGACTAATGTAATTCTCAGTAATTTTGCTGAAGATTCATGTTTGAAATGCAGATAATAAGTTTACTAACTAGTTAAATATTTTTTACCAATTAAAATATAACATAAAAATTAAAGCTTAGGCTACACAAAGTTAATTTTTCGTTTTGCGTTATTCACTGACCAATTTTTTTTTTTTAAGTTCCAATTGTGCCAATTGTTCTATTTTTTCTATAAATTAATCTGGTATCACCCGAGCAGAGACCTTATTTTTCTGGAATTGTCTGATAGAACTGGTAAAAAAAAGTTTGATAGCTGATCCCATGTTATGCAAAGCAAAAAATCAACTATGTGTGGCCTTAAATACGAACATGAGTCTATTAATTGCTTTATATTGTCTAGAGATAGGAAAAATGCACATGAATGCGCACGTTATGTAAAATGCGCATGATATCGCATGATATAATTTTTTGATTTTATATTTTTCCTCAGAAAAATACCGGATATTTGTCAAAAATTTTTCTCTAACCCTTCTCATCTTAATGTTCTATACTTTAATTTTCCTATATAAAATTTAGATAGGATAAAATGCACATGAAACTCATCTCTAATATTGACCAACCGACCATTGATTTTAAAATCCATGTAATACAAAATGAAAAATTAACTTTGCGTGGCCTTACAATTTATCATTTATGACTTAGCATACTTATTTACAGATTTAAATTTATGCCATATCAATGTATAAAATTTAAATAAAATATTTAAAATTTAAAATTTAGCTTTCATGACCCGGAACTCGACATATAAAATTTTATTCACTACAGCTGTACTCATAAATTTGGAACAATTGAAAAAAATGCCGATGAACGAATTGATAAATTTCTGAGTTCGGTTGAAGTCAGTCACTTATTTATTTCAACTCAGTAACTTATCGATCCGGTATCAGAAAATTTTTCTGTTCCCAGAATTTATGAGAACAGCTGTAATATATAAATTTTAATTTTTACAATTTGGCTTTTATGACCCGGCTGGTTATAAAAACCAATTCATAAATTTTATTGTCCTTTTTATGCATACGTAATAAATTAATTATGTATGTATATATTTAATTTTATTTAGTTTGTTATTGTTATAATGTAATATTCTATACTATAAAAATTACTACTAAAGTTGAAATTGGTCATAATTAATTACCTCAATTTGGCAGCACCACCAGACCAGACCCTGCTTTAACTCATAGCTGGTTTACTATTTTAAAGGATTAAACAAACTCATATAAATCACTTATTTGATCTATTTAGTCAATTTGATTTGGTCAAATATTTGATTTGTTCAAATATTTGATTTGATCAAATAATTGATTTGGGATTCAAACTTTAATTTGAGTTTGCAGAGCACTAGGCCTAACCTAAGTAACCTACACACCAATGTGTTGAACATCGGCGGAGACGCAACATTTGAAGGCTATTTCACGGCATTTACATGGGCAGACTAGATGACGGTGACACATAATGATATACAAGAGCGAGAGATATTGACAACATTGATTGCAGACTGCACTTTCTCACCTTTATGGACTAGAAAAAGATTTATAATATGGATGGATAATCAAGCAAACGTGGAAGCATACTACTCCAGGTATTGTAAAAACAGTAAGATAAATGAGATCATAATACAATTATACGAAACTCAAATACAAAAGAATTTTTCCATTAGATTAGAGCATATAGCTGGAAAATCGAATGTAGATGCCGACCTACTTTCCCGGAGTAGTCACAAAGAATTCATGATCAAAAATCCTTTATCATATTACCTCCAACCCAACATGCCTCTTGAGTATACTAACAGAATATCTCTCATTCAATTCTTGTTACAGTAGTTTGCTACAAGCGGAATGATTTAGAGCCGAAGTTAAACACACAAAGAAAGCCTAGCAGAAACGATGAAGACAACAAAAAATCATACCAAAATGTCGGATGCGACGGAACTCCACTAGACAAGCAGGCAGCAGAAATACTAAACTTAGAACTACCCAAGCACAAAACATATGAAGCAATAGTAAAGAAATATCAAATATTAGCAACGGAACATCAATTATTTAACAAAAATGGTAATATGTGGCCCATATCCAAAGAGTCGTTAATAGATTTCATCATGTGGTTAAGTGGCAAGTAACTCCTCCAACTATAAAATCCTATTTATCAGCACTGAAAAATCATCATACCATGAATGGGCATGACTGGACCCTAGTAAGGAAAGACCCACTGGTGAAACAAATACTTAAAACCATAGAAGCGAATCATAAGCACATATCTGTCAAACAAAAAACATACATTACACGAGATCACCTGAGATATATAAAGGAAAGCATAAATTCAGAAAATTCTGACGCTTTACTCTTTTGGACTGTAGCATTAATGGCATTTTATGGGTTGGCACGCCTCGGCGAGCTACTCCCAAATGGCAATACGGATAGAGACAAAATACCATGTGTGAAAGCACTAAGGTTTGAAAAACATGGGTCAATAATGTTCGCAATGATCCAACTCGCACAGACCAAAAATCATAAGTCAGCAAACAGGGTATATTTCCAACAAAAGATGATCTATACCCTATCCAAGCACTCAAAACATATGTAATCTGGCGTACAAATACAGCATATGCACCAGGCAAAGAAGCATTGTTCGTCAGATCCAATGGATCTTGGTCGACAAAATGGTGGTTCTGTAACAAGTTGAATTCAATCTTGCCCAATGATAATGTTGCGGGACATAGCTTCAGGGCCGGTAAAACGACAGAACTTGTGTTGTGCAGAATCCAACTAGTAATGATACAAAAGATAGGACGATAAGATTCTGATACTTTTTATATATACATCAGAGCACACCTAGCAATGATAGCCCACATCCTCGTCAGGGCATATTTGAAATAAAAAAAAAATTTATTAATAACAACGAAGAAATTGACACAATATAAAGATACACAATGATCAGACCTCACACAATTTCTTAAAATGTTTGGAACGACTCGGCCTGATCAGTGCAAATTACAAATATATATATAACTATCCCTTAAGCTGTAGAGTTCGTGTAACAATTTTAGCTTAAAAATAGCATAAATTTAGTTATGATCTATTTTTTT